AAAAAAAAAAAAGTTCTCTATCTTCTGCATGACACTTGCTTTTATTTTCCAGGAGGGCAAACTTCAGGACATACAGGAAGGAGTTCCATCTCATTCTCAGAAGTTCACCATGTCTGATACTGCTGGTATCCAAGACTTTCCTTCTTTTTTCTCAAGATCCAGAGAAAAACTTTCTTTTTGCTTCTAATATTACCATAGATGGCAAACAAGACATATCATTTTTACAGTGTTCTTTGGGGCAATTTTAATTAACCTTCATTAAAATAAATTTGAGAAATGTCTGGAAGAAGGGACAAATATTGGTAAGGTCATTAAATGGAGTAGTTATGTCATCAAAGATAATTATCTAGGTTTCGGTCATGGTCTCTCCTTTATTACTGAAATGATGGCCCACTTATAGGACACGTGTCCTTTCTTAGCAAGGGCTTTACCTTCACCCAGCATTTTTATGGTCATGATCGTTGTCATATTGCTTTAAAATCTTACTTGAATTAGCAATGAGTTATCTTTGTCAGAAGCTGTGTCTGCTTCTTACGAGGCAGTTACTGATAGAAGACAGCTGAGATGGAGGGCTAGTGCAAACACCTGGGGCAAGCAAGCCTCTACGGGCTCGCTCCACCCCCCGGGCTGCCTGGCTCTCCTGTCTGCAGCCATCTGCTTTCTCCTAAGCTCACCTGCCGTTCCTTCCCTTGGATTCTACTCCTGCCTCTGAGGCTGTTTAGTCAAATTAACCTCTGGGAGGGTAGGTGCCGCTTCACAGGTGCTGGGGGAAGGGTAAAAATAAATAGAAAAGATAAATAAATTTTCCCCAGTGCTGCAATGGAAAGAGACACCCCCCCCCACCACCACCACTACTTTTCTTAGAGAGCGTTATAGACAATTTGTAATTGCAAATTCTTCTCTGTCCCTTTGAGGTGTATGTATGTCTTTTTCAAAGTGAAATTAAGTTTTTGCCATCTTTACAATCCAGGAATGTCTTTCTTAAGGGCCTGGGCGCCATCTCTTTGATATGGAATCATCAAGAAGATAGCATTCCTCTCTCCCAGTTTCTGTGGGATGGTAGGAGCAGGTGCCTGGCTCTAAGCTGTAAAACGACTACCTGTCCTAAAGACACAGGAAGTCTTCTTTTCCCTTTGGGTGAAGGCAACTGCTAACACAAATGGCCACTCGATTGTGTCTGTCCTGTGTGACGAACGGTGCTGCCAAGTCCTCTTACTTGAGGAGTCGTTATTGTTCATCTTGAGGACATGTACAGAATAGGTTATATCCGCCTGGGTAAATAAAAAGGTGAGATTTTTTTTCTGCCTTTGCCATATCTTTAGCTGATAGCCTGTGATGCACATCTCATTCTGGCTTAATGATTATTCAATTCATAAAACTGTTTTCTTTCTCTTCTCCTTGGTTGGCAGAAGATTTCATTGTTAATGACATTCCCCCAACATCATCAGAACCTGGGAAGACAAGGCGTGACTGCGTTATACACCGTGGGGGGCAGGGCCGGTCATTCCAAGATGGAAAGAGCTTTACTTACTGAAACCCCTTTACAGGCAAAGCACTGTACATATGTTAGCGGAACTCCTGGATAAGCCACTCGTAGTTGGGGATGAGAACCCCAAAGACCAGGCTGGAGTTAAAATAAATTTCTTCCAAGGAAGTTTGTTTCATTAACAACTATAGGATTTTTTTTAAAATACTGAATACGTGTGCGAATATGGTCCCAGAGCTGGACTTGGAAAGAGGCTGACCTCTGCCACCAGTCCCCACACAGCCTTATATTTGATGTTAAACAAATCTGTAAAATCATGATTTTGAAGGGGTGCAAAATTATTGTTAGTCTGAGGCACCCACATGTCTAAGTCTGATCCTACCAGACAGCTCTCACACCTAGAGGGTCCATTTCCCTGCATTAGCCTTCACCTGGAGCCTCCCACCCGCCTTCCTCCTGAGCTTCACGTTAGAACTCTTCCTGACCAAGACCCAAACCAACCACTCAGCTGAGGCTTAGGAGTCCTCTGTGATGGGCATATCCATGAACAAATGGGGTTGCTTCCCCTGTGCAGCCCTTCAAAACATTATTAATATCTATAAATGCCCTTAAAACAGAGTCTGGTATATAGCAGGTAATGTTTAACTTTTGATAAGACAGAGTAAATGGAGATTTTTTTTTTTTAAGATTTTATTTTTAAGTAAACACTACATCCAACGTGGGGCTTGGAACTCACAACCCTGAGATAAAGAGTCACAGGCTCTTTCAACTGAGCCAGCCAGGTACCCCAAGTAAATGGAGAATTTGAGAGGCTTCCAAAATCAGCAAGAAAAGGACAGGGTTATGTTGTAAAGCCCCTAGAGAATCTGGTGATTACACAGGACCTGAGAGGCCCCAATAAGACAAAAGTGG